GACTCTTAAGCTAAAGCCATGCTTACGATAGTTTTTGCTGAACAGATCCCGGGCCTGTTTGCCCAAATCGCCATAAGTGGGGGGTGCCATCACGACTGGATCCGATTCAAGTGATGAAATAAGTGGTTAAATAACAGAGCAATGCGTGTCTGTATGCTCGCACTGTATGTATGTATGGGTTGTCTATTGACTGTCCTTTGAATGTGAATATGGGCTCCGGTTTAGTGCTTTCAACGCTATATTCAATGCTATGGGCTATCAGTGCTCTACCCATTGGGTGACGCAAGCGCTCACACATCACACCATTGCCCCCATCAATGACGCCATACATAGCGCGCTGTGGCACTCATTGGCCGCGCGCTGAGGGGTTGTGTATGTATTGCACGTAATGTGTGAATGACGCCAATATGCACTCAATTTCTCACATGAATTCAAAAGTAGAAAAATAAGAGAAAAATGTTATTTTGATTGCGATGTGAGACAAGTGTTTCACTAATGAGTGATACGTCGAAGCAATTCATCGTAAAAACATCGCTCACTCTCTCTCTCTCTCCTCTTCCGCGACCTCTCCTCTCATATGACTTGATTCGCATCGAGAGATCAAACCGTAGATAAGATAATAGACGAGTGTATGTGTGATATGATGGACACGACTACTGAACAAATGAGTTGCGATCAACACCTACTGTCAATGCATTTGCGCTGAAATCCAAACCACATTTCAATCCAATTGACGGTTAACTCACTCCACGTTTCGCTGATTTTGTTGTCAAACCATTTATTTCTCTCGCAATGTATTCATCGCTCAATAATTGCACTCAAAGTGTGCGACAATCGCTTCACAGATGAACGAGTGGTTCCACATCACAGACACCCGAAGACTCATTTGACACGTGATTGTGTCACACATTCACTCATTATTTAGATATAATTTGTTTGATTTTCAAAAGACATTTGATTTGTGGCCCAAACCTCTCTCTCTCACTCTCTCTCAATGGATAATTCGGTGGTCGAGTGGAGCGCCGAAGAGGTGGGCGTTTGGCTCGAGAGGAATGGCTTCGAGACGTACGTCCGGCAGTTCCGCGACGAACACAAGATCGACGGCAATTGTTTGCTTACGTTGACCGAAGACGACCTCCGGAGCCCTCCCCTCCTGATAGCCGTCTTGGGAGACATCAAACGACTGGGCATTGCGTTGAGAGCTCTTCAGGACTCGAACGCAGCGCTCGTCTTCTCACTGATGGGTCGACCACTGATGGGATCCCACGACAAGTCTCACCACTCATTCAAATCGCATAACAATCACATGAATCACGCGAATATGGATTATCTTCCCGACGACTACTCCGACGACTTCCCGCTTAACCACAGGAGTGAATCGCATCCGCAGATGAAACCCGAGTCGTGGAAAGCGCTCATAGCTATGCTCTACTTCTTCACCGCCACTTGGATTACGGCTATCGTTATGGTCATCGTTCACGACAGAGTGCCTGATATGCAGACATACCCACCACTTCCCGACATATTCCTCGACAACATACCACTCATTCCCCACGCCTTCAATATGTGCGAAGTGTGTGGACTCGTGCTCTTCATCATATGGATTGTGATTCTCGTATTTCATAAACACAGGTTTGACGCTAACAGACACACATCACCATCTGATCCAATGGATTGCTAACATGTCATATGTATTACAGATTTATTCTGTTGAGGCGAATGTTCTCATTGTTTGGCTCAGTATTCTTCCTGAGGTGCGTAACGATGTTAATAATCACATCACCGCCATCTGATCCAATGGATTGCTAACATGTCATATGTATTACAGATTTATTCTGTTGAGGCGAATGTTCTCATTGTTTGGCTCAGTATTCTTCCTGAGGTGCGTAACGATGTTAATAACGTCGCTATCAGTTCCCGGACGTCATCTCCAATGCAAAGCCAGAGTATGTCTCAGAGAATGGATTTGCTGTCAAACAGTATTTCCAATACCGGTATCACTTGTATTAAATCACTGTTTGTGTTTATAACGTCGCTATCAGTTCCCGGACGTCATCTCCAATGCAAAGCCAGAGTATGTCTCAGAGAATGGATTTGCTGTCAAACAGTATTTCCGATATAACTTGTATTAAACCACTGTTTGTGTTGTGTATCAGCCGTATGGCAGTTGGTTCGAGCGCGTGAACCAGGCGTTCCTCATATGGCAGGGCGGAGGGATGTCTATCCAAGGGGTCCGCACGTGTGGCGACTACATGTTCAGCGGACACACCGTTGTGCTAACTTTACTCAACTTTTTCATAACTGAATGTATATATGACTTGATTAACGGCACTGATTATTGAATGCATTAATGATTGTACGGTTTGGTGTGTCCACCCCCACAGACACCCCCACGAGTCTCTACCTGGTGCACACCCTATCATGGGTTCTGAATCTATTCGGCATATTCTTCATACTGGCCGCTCACGAGCACTACTCCATCGACGTGTTCATCGCGTTCTACATATCGACGCGACTCTTCCTCTACTACCACACTCTGGCCAACAATCAGGCGCTCTATCAGAACGACCGCAAACGGACGCGAATCTGGTTCCCATTGTTCTACTTCTTCGAGTCCGGCGTTCACGACATCGTTCCCAATCAGTTCGAGTACCCCATGAGTTCGCCCAAACACCGGCTCACCCTATTTCTTAAGAAACTAATGCCAAAAGTCTTCGACAAAAGCAAACAGTTATAGGTAATCATAGGTTGAATGATCCGATCGAGTGAACAAATTAAATCATAAGTATTTTTAAGTTATTTCACCGTTAATCCTATTTATTGATTATTTAATTATTTAATTATTGGCAGTTATTGTAAGTTTTTATTTTTAATTTATAATAATTATAAAAATCTGTTTTTTTATATCTAATGGTTGATGTGTTTTTGCAAAATATAATACAACTCTTGGTGTCAAACAGTGTTTGCGTTGTCGTCGAAGACTAGAACCGGAAAATTGAGTATATTTTCCAACTTTTTAGCGATTGATAACAGATGAAAGTCGTGCAATCGTTTGCCGATTAATTGTAAACTAATGGGAAGTCCGTTCTTAGAGAGTTTGCAGGGAATACTGACGGCCGGCAGACCCGCCATATTGACCGGTTGCGTGCAATAGTCTTCGGTGGACACCTGTTGTCTGTTATCCTTTGTAACCCATTGCGAGTGAAGCGGCGCTTCTGTGAGTGTGACCGGAGTTAGCAATAAATCCACGTTTTGTTTGTCAAACACCGACTCGAAGTCATTGGCGATCAGTCGCCGCACTTTCAGCGCTCTCTCGAAATAGTTTTCGTAGTTCTCTCGCAACAGGAAGTAATTGCCGGCGAATATCCGGCCCTTAACCGTATCGCTGAAGGCCTCGTGTCTGGCCTTAGAGTACTGTTCCTCGAGTGTGGGCCCGGAGTTGTCGGCTCTGAAGCCGAACTCAATTCCGTCATAACACGAGAAATTGGATGAGACTTCGCAACAGTTTAACACTGAATAACACGCTATCGAGTGGCGAGTGTTGGGCAGAGACACCGATCGCACTCTCGCGCCCCTCTCCGACAACATGTCGGCCACCGCTCTCCACGTGTCGATCACTTCCGCGGACATGCCTTCGCACTGGTATTCATCGGGAATACCGACGCTTAGTGTCGACAAATCGATGTCATCGTTGAGCGCGAGTGCAATCTTGTCGTCGATTGTGGTCGAGTCGAGCGGATCGTGTCCTGCGATGGCCGCCAACACGTGGGCCACGTCTTGGACACAACGGGCCATCACTCCAATCACGTCCATTGAGTGCGTCAACGGGATTAAGCCATACCTCGACACCAGACCGTACGTGGGTTTGTAGCCAACGATACCGACTCTGGCGGCCGGGTTTCGGGTCGACCCTCCCGTGTCCGACGACAGGGCGGCGAACACAGCGCCTGAGGCCACGGCTACAGCGCTTCCTCCAGAGCTGCCGCCACTTACGTACCAATCGTTTTGTGGCACGTCTTCGAAGGGAACCGTTTCCTGAGTTTGTTTATCGCATACTTTGAACGCCAGACCAGACTTCCAGGGGTTGATTGTGGGCCCAAACACCCCGTCCACACATCCCGAGCCCATCGCGAACTCATCCATATTTGTCTTCCCCGTCATTACCGACCCATTCGTGTCGACCAACCGCTGGACAACCGATGCGCTGAACGGCGGCCTATAATTGGATAACATTTTCGACGCGCAAGACGTCAACACATTCTTCGTGCAGATGTTGTCTTTGAAAGCGATGGGAATGCCGTCCAATACGCCCAACGGGTGTCCACTTTTGTATCGTTTGTCCGATTCTTGGGATCCGTTGATCGCCATGTCTTCTGTAAGTGTTATGAAAGCGTTCAATGATTTCGTTTTATCCGCTCTTTGCAGGCATTGTCTCAATAGATCCGATGCACTGATTTGACCGGAGACTAGCATTTGATGAATGGTTGATATCGTGGATGAAAGCAGTGACACATTCTTCGTGTCTTTCACACCAATTCTGTGCATTTCTGGTCACAATTCACTCACAAATTGTTTGCAAATTTAAAAAACTTTGAAATCAAATCACATTTTGTTTTGATTTCAGGCTTTCATATAAATAACGTTTTGTATTCATATTTGACACAAAGTTTGTCACAAACTCTCACCCAAAGAGGTTTGTGGTTATCATAATCTTACGTTTGAATCAGACAAATATCAGGATTAGTTTTGTGGTGATATGATTATGGTATTGGTTTTATCATTATTATGATTATAAAAAGTAGAGTTGACCAGGATAATTGGCAATTTTGATTCAACAATTTATAGTCTAATCTATTGTGCATTATTATACAGAATAATATTGCAAGTTTCAGAATAATCTGAAATATGCTAGCTAAATGTTTGTATAGATATTGCGATAATTTGTTTAATGGTAAAAGTTTTCACTGCCAACTTTGCAAACATTATGATTTTAAGATAATTTGACGGTATTATATTTGATAATGTAATATTTTGATAATTACATACAGTATTACTCTAACCAAATACTTTGAATTATTAAAGTAGTGATAACTGAAGTTTACGTAATTATAATGATCTTTCAAATTATCTATTCATTATAAAATGATACCTCATTGTTAATTCATGTAAAGTATAAGTTTGTATGTCGTGAATGTTCAATAAAAATTCAATAGCACATAAAAGCAATTATTTTTATTTTTTATTCTAAAGGAAAAAATGTTTTATAAATAGTTTTATACCATTAAATAAATACTAATATTAAATATTTTTATTTAATTTCCTCGTTGTCTATCAATTTGA